GGCGGGATGCAGACGGGCATGCTGCGGCCCGTTTTGTACCTCGTTGCGTGGCGGGCGGAGAGCGGCAGGGCGCGCGTCGGCGCATTTTGCTCTCCGTTGCGTGGCGGGCGGGATGCAGACGGGCATGCTGTGGCCTGTTCTGTACCTCGTTGGGTGGCGCGCAGGACGGAGACGGGCTTTTGGTTTGTGTTGTATTGCATAGTATAGTACTCATACTGTATAGGGTCCACGTCACGCGGCGGGACGAGGAGGTCTACGGGCTACAGAATGCGAACAGGCCCAGGGGGCTCCCCCCACTCGAACACCTCCCGGGAGCTCCGGACTCGTCCAAACCGCGCGATTTGACGCGCGTTGGGTCGTACCGTATTGGGTGTGCCATGTCCGCGCCGCATCCTCGTATAAATCGCGCGGAATTCGTGCAGAGGCCCCGGGAGAGCCCAGGGGAGCCAAACCCAGCCGACAACTCCCCTCGCGGACCTCCCAGGTGTCCTGGCGCGTCGAAACCGCGCGAGGACGTAGCCTTGCGTCGCTCACATCCGTCGAGTTCATCCGGACGCGGACGCGTCGTCGCGCCGTCGCAAAATCGAGTGGGGACAGTCAGGCTCCCAGGGAGTCGAGTCGGTCTCCCCGGGCGTCGAAGTCGTCGTAGGGCACCAAAATCGTGCACGGGCATGGCGTGTAGTCTTGCCGTACATGTTGAAGCGGCGGAATAGGCCAGATCTGTCGGTGAATCGCAGAATTGAACGGGGGAGACTCGGGGGGCAAAAGACTGGCTGTAAGCGCCAAAACCGCGCTCGCGGACCTGAATGTGCGCGTCGCAAGCTGAAATTGCGCGTGGGGGAGGTCGGGGGTCCTCTCTATCCGGTGCACATGTCAAGGCATGGGTGAGCATCTGTGAACGCGCGGAGTCGTAGCCGGGAGAGTCGGGACACCCGAACTGGCCCCCAGCGCCAAGTCCAAGCTCACGGAGTCAAACGAGCGCGTCGCACGCTGCAATTGCGCGGAGGCAGAGTACAGGATCGTCTCTTGCCGCGCCAAAAGTTTGCAAGCGGCGGAGTGGCTGCGAACGGACGGAAATGCGAAAAGGGACAGCAGGGGACCTGGGACCAGCCGCAGGAGTTAAGTACATCCTCGGGCCGCTCGCGGGCGCGCCGGGACGCCAAAATTGCGTACGTGGAGTCTAGAGCGTTGTACCGTACAGGTGGAGCCTTCTGAATCTCGCTGTGTCGTTTCAGAGGCGCGAAATAGCGATCGGGAGAGGCAGGGGCACGGGGACTGACTAAGGGCGCCAAATTTGGCCCTCCTGGGTGTTGCAGTGGTCGGATCTCTGCGGAACCGTGCACGCGGAGAGCCTGGAGTCTGCCCTTGATGTAGAACCCGCTTGGACGCGGCGGCGTGGCAGCGTCGTTGCACAACTGTGATCGGGAGACTCGGGGGCCCAAAGGTGGCTATGGGAGCGAACTCCGGGGCTTGCGGGCACCGTAGTCGTCCTAGGCTGCCGAAATCGCGTGCGTAGAGCCTTCGGTGTCGTATGGTACCGGTCGCGCCGTCGAAACGCGTCCGCGTCGACGTTTTCCGGCGAAATCGCGAAAGAGGGCGTCGGGAGTGCTTGGGAGCCGAGTCCGAGGCTCGACAAAGTTGTTGGCGTCGTACAGCACCGAAAACACGCGCCTGCGCACCTGGTACTTGTCCCGCGCCGTGAATGGTGTGTGGACGCGGCTGCGCAGCCGCACCGTCGCGAGATCGGGAGAGGGGCCGGGAGAGGGCTGTGGGAGCGAAGTCCGAGCTTTGCGGGCCTCGTAGACGACCTAGGGCGTCAGGATCGCACACATGGGCTCCTTGTCGTCGTGTCGTACGCTTGGAGCCGCCATAACGCGTCTGCATTGTCGCGCTGTGGAGGAATCGGGAGGGAGAGTGTCGAGGAACCAGGAGAAGGCCATCAGAGTCAGGCACAGCCCTGGGCCGGCGGCAGACGTCCCAGGGCTTTGAAAGCGCGCAGGCAGTGGCTTGAGCATCGTACTGGACGTGTGAGATTGCTGATATGCGGCGGTGTGGCGGTGTGGTCATGGGATCGAGAGCAGGAGGGGGGTGATGTCGGAACTGGTGCACTAAGTCGATGGAGATATCGAGCAGATATCGAACAACAAGCTGGCAGACAAGCAGCAAGTGGGTAAAGCAAGTAGATAGCGGTACAAGGGAACCTGTGTCTACAGTACAGCAGCGAGCTAGCACCCAGGGAGGACCCCGGACACCAGAGACCCCGAGTGCGGGCACAGGCGCCCACCACTCGTTCCAACACTCCCACTCGCCAAAAGACCGCAACGAGGGGAGCGCACAAACACAGAAACAAAACAAACAAAAAACCGAACCACAATGTCCAACAACAACCCATGCTCCCACTGACCTCCCACTGACCCTACGCCTGAATGCGCTTGCGAAGCGCGCGATGCTCCTGGGTGGCGGAGTACGAGTCGCCAGAGTCGCTATCCGAGTCTGAGTCGATGGCTGCACCAGCAACGACGTCATCCAGGCCATCGCCGCCCACAGAGCTGAGGGAGGTGTGGAAGGCCTTCTTGCCGGCACGTCGAGCCTGCGCAATCCTGTCCCTGAC